TGCCCTTTCCTATAGTTTTGACATCTGTCGGGCCTATTTGTTTTGCGTTCTGTATGATGTACAAGTTATTAGCCAATAGCGAATGGCAACTTACCCTTGTCACCCGCCCACTGCTGGCATTTGTCCAATGCGCTAACGTGATCCGCGTTAAGATCTTTTTTTCTCTTTGGACTTTCTCTAGCATTCCTGTGGTTTATATATAGTGCCTTCGATCACGAGAGAAGTCTGAGAATCGATAATGTCATTGTTTGATGTCACAAAAGATCTCATCTGTGGCGAATTTCGCCAATTAGCGGACTTGTTGAAACACGTGGGAGCTACAAACGGGGAAATGGTCGACTTAATATTGCAACAACCAACGATCACAAACAAACAGTCGGTAAAAGTTCATTAATTCATGCTTGGTGTGTAAAATTACTCAGTATCAACGAGTCGTCTATACGTTATCACACGCTTCGGTATCCCTTTAGGTAGTAATTAAAAAAAAAAAAAATTGCTTCCACTTGATGGAAAGACATGCAATGACTAATGTCGAAAATAAACTGAAAGCAAATCTTGAGAGACGAATTTAAATTTATGCTTAATTTTTCGTAAATTGTTCTCGATTACATAATTTCACTTCGATGTAAATATTTCTTATGTGTGTGTGCGTGTATGTTATCGACAACCGCCCAACACATTCGCATACTATAATTTTATATTTGTAAACATTTGATTCCGCTGGCGGATGCATACACTCCTGAAAACGAAAGTTCGGGACTTTTCCCTATCCCGACATGCACGTTGGAACCAAGATAAATCAAGCGTGGGAAATGTGCAAGTTTTATGGAATTTAGAATTGGTATTTTCTGCCCATAAATAATGTCGAAATTGCAAAATTAAGCTCATTAAACTGTATCTGGTGTTGCTTTCTATCTATCGTTGTACCTAGGTTATTTCAACGATTTTTGGTTAATGTATCCTATAATTAATATAAAGAAGCGCAGTGCTTATAAATAGGTGACTGATAGCCCAGGCTGATAGCCCGGGCTGATAGCACGATATTTTGACCAAAAACAGCTCAAATTACTTAAAAACGTGAAACCAGATATAATTTCGTGAGCTAATTTCGTGATTTCGTAATTCGACATTGTTTATCGACAGAAAGTCTCAGTTCTAAATTCTGTACTCTTTCAATTCTTGTTCAAAATGTCATTAATTTGCGGATATTATGCTCAGAATCCCTATCATGTGACCTGTTGCAAGCGTTGTTAATGTTTCATTACAATGCCGACCGTTGAGAACACAGGACAGCTGTCTTGAATTCTTCTTGGTTACAGTTCGACGCACGGTCGCTCAGAGCCAAAGATCTTATTCTACGCTGAACCCATGAAAATGGGCAGGACTTTTTCTCGCTTTTTCGTCGACCTGACATAAAGAAAATTTGGCAAGAGCGAAAGCTAGATTGCGGTGAAACACCCATATCGAGAAAAGTTTCCGTGTACAAATGAAATATCACACCGCAATCCGCAACTGAACCTAAGTGGCCTCATATGGCCACTTAAATACAGTCCCCACTCGGCCGGTCGGCCTTAAAAGAGAGATTTGAGGGGCTGGAGACAAAGTAGATTACATGAGGCGCTATATCAGTTTTTTTTCGAGGATTTCTTTCATCGAGCTTGTCTTTGGGCGAATTTCGAGGCTTTTTGTGATTTAAACGTTTTCATCGGGGAGATTTAAAAGAGGCGGCTCTTCAAGATGATGCTGTACTACATTTCGACGATCAAAACAACGTTGAAATTCAATTTATCGACGAAGAAGACTTCCCTCTTGCCAGGATCACCGAGTATCAAGCTTCTGATGAGGGGTTTTACTCTGGTACATCAGGTACATCGGAATCAAGCTCCGAGGATTCGAGCGAAGAGTCGGAAGATGAAGGCAACGAAGTGGAATCGGATGAAGAAGATTGGTATAGAGAAGTCGAACGCAGAGTAGATATTGATTTTAGTGAAGAACCTGGAATAAATGTCAGCCCAAGAAACCTGAAATCGTGTTTCGAGTATTTGGAGCTGTTTTTCACACAAGAGGTATGGCAGTTGTTAGTTAGTCAAACTAATTTACATGCCGAACGGAAGAGAGGGCCAGCAGAAAGCTCTGTATGGTATCCAGTCACAGAAAGTGAAATGAAGGCCTGCATTAGTCTGTACCTAAATATGGGGTTGGTTACTAAACCGAACCTTAATTCTTACTGGAGTACTGATCCTGTCCTAAGTTCTCCTTTCTTCCCATCTTTGATGTCCTAGACTCGATTCTTTCAAATTTTGCGGTACCTGCACTTTGCTTACAACACCCGTGCTCCCCCACGTGACTCTGCAGACTACAATAAGCTGTACAAAATCCAGACTTTCCTAGATTTGGCCATGGAAAGGTTTCAGGAAGTGTGCACCCCTGAGCGACAACTTGCCATAGATGAGACTTAAATTAAGTTCAAAGGCAAAGTACACTTACTGCAGTTTATCCCCATAAAGCCGGGATGATTTGGTATAAAGGCTTTCACCCTTGCAGAATCCACCAGTGGCTATGTGTTGAATAGCAAGATTTATCCTGGCAAGGAGAATAATGAAGAACAGAAAGACTTAGGAAGGAAGGCAGTTACAGTGTATGTCTGTGCTGCAACCTTATATAGATAAGGGATTTTATGCCTTCATGGACAACTATTACACTTCTGTAGCTCTGTTTGAAGAGTTAGAAGAAAGAAAAACCCTTGCATGTGGTACAGTTCGGTCCAACAGGGTAGCCTTGCCAAGATTTGTGGTGTGAAGGAAAAGGCAGTGAAAAATCTTAAAAGAGGAGAGCGTTTGTACAGACAAAAGGGAAATTCGACTTGCATGACATGGCGTGAAAGAAAGCCAGTTAGTGTGTTAGCTACCCTTCCCACCAGTGCAACAGACTCGAGCCCAGTTCAGCGATCAGTAAAAGTAAATGGGAAGTGGGAGAAGAAGTAATTTTCTAGACCAGGTGTAATTGACCTCTGCAACACCTATATGGGTGGTGTAGATGTGTCTGAACGGCGAACCGTTGCATATGCCAGACGTATGAAGGGGTCAGTCTGGTATTATAAAGTGCTTTTTTTTATATATATAATTGAGGTGTGTATATCAAACGCACACATTCTCCACACCAAATCCCAGAATCATGCCAGTCTAAGAGTAGTGCAGTTCAGAAAGGAGTTGGTCAGCGCATTGGTTCAAGGCAAGTGCTTTCGAAGAGACACAGGATTGGTGCCTACCCCTGTTGCTATTCCTGACATAAGATTCAATCGGGATCATTTCCACTACCCTGTGAGCAACGATACAAGATCAACTTGCAAGGTCCATGTCCAGAAAGTAAAAACCATCTACAGCTGTGCTATTTGTACTGTCAGAATGTGCCCTGAGCCTTGTTTTCAAAGGTACCACACAATGCAAGACTACTTTTATGATTATGAAAGTCGAGATTGTCCCCGTCAGCTAAAAGAAGCAAGAGGGAGGCCATATCAAAGGGGAAGAAGATCTTTAAGAAATTAACTCTTGGTTAATGTGTGAGCATAGTTTTGTGCTAGTTAGGCGTATAACTAGGGGCTGTATAACACATGAAGAAACTATTGACATTGTTTGCATATTTCATAATTTTTTTTAAATTTTTACTTCACGAAAGGTATTTAATCTTTTTTAAATTCTCTAAACAAGGGTTATCACCCTTATTAATAATTCTTACCCTTTGAAATTATATTGAAAGGTGATTAGAATTTCCAGTAAGAAACCAAAAATTAGAATATTTGTTTAAAACTCGTGGTTCAAAAATTTGCGTAATTATGCACATTATGCTTATTGTGACGTCACCGTTTTGACATGTGTCATAATTTCTATGGTTGCTGTGAAAGTATGTTTAATGTACTTCATAAATACATATAGTTTTATGGCGTTTTGTTCTAAAGAACAGGATTGACAAGCATTCTTTTAAAATATACTCATTTTTGTAACAAATAAATACCACCTCCCTTGATATACAAATAATAGGTGTCAACGCCCCGTACGGGTTAATGAGATTCAAAATTAGTTTTTCTGTTTATCTTAAAAAGTAAACAAAGCTTTTTTTCCCATTCTTTTTGGAAGATGTTTATCTCAGTCTTCTCAATTTGAACAGCAAAAAAGGAAAGATTTTTCGCATTTTTCGTAAACATTCACCTACCATGATACCTTAATGGATGACGTAGCCAGACATCGCTCCCTTAAATTCTTCATTACATCGCCGATCGCAAGCTGAGACAAAGAAAATTTTACAAATGCTGGAAAATCAGGATGCTAAGACAGCTAATTATGAAGTTCTTTCAGTTGAATTAAACTCCATAATGCAAAATCAGAACAAGGAAGTAGAAAGGTTAGAAACACAACTTAAAACTTCTAACAATGAAATAAGAAAACTTCAGCGACAGAGTATTTAGAGCATACTTTAAGTGCCAGAAATTTTTCTATGGCGGAACTGGAAGAATATGTTAAGCAAGAACAGTTCTCGAGCTTTGATGGTGGACTCATATGGAAGATTACTGACTTCGCTCGGAGAAGAAATGAGGCAATAACAGGCCAACACGTATCTACTTATAGTCCGTGTTTCTATACTAGTCGCCATGGCTACAAGATGTGCGCGCGCCTCTATCTTAACGGAGATGGAAAAGGCAAAGGAACGCACATTTCTTTATTCCTTGTTATCTTGCGCGGTCAGTATGATGGCCTACTCCGCTGGCCATCCAGACAGAAGATCACATTTATGCTAATACATCAAGATAACGAGGAGCACGTGATCGACTCGTTCAGGCCTGATCCCAGCAGCTCTTCTTTCCAGAGGCCTCGAAGAGAAACCAATATTGCCAGCGGATGCCCCACCTTCTGTCCTCTATCTGAGTTTATCAACCACGCCTACATAAAGGACGATACCATGTTTATTAAAGTAATTGTTGATACCACAGATATATAAACTTTCGGTGAGTTTTAAGTTGTTTATTTGAAGGTTCTAAAAAAAGGAGGTCATGCAAGCTTCGACAGCTATAGCTAGCTAGATTTTTCTGTTTTCTAAATTCTCTTTCTACCATAATTTGAGATATTAGGGAGTTTAAGAAGCTAGGACGACGACGCGAGGAGTCATTATATTTTACCTACGAATTTCGCGATACTCCGGCTAAATTCATTTAACTTGTTTCTCGAATCTGGTTATGGAACACAGCGTTAAATTCGAAATATAAATTTTCAAAATTATCCGTTGTGGTTCATGTTCTCCACACAACGCAGAATTTGGTCATTTCACGTGGTCTTTTTTTCAGAGGACCGCCAAGAAATGCACCAAGAATTATTATGGACGTGCAGCGCCATTGTATTGCTCTTTGAACCTTTTGTTTAGCGACGTTGGCGTTGCCGTTGTCGTTTTCTAAACTCCCTAATATTATCATTCCTTACCTTAGCATTCATAAAGTAAAATAAGGTTTGCTAGACAACGCTGGCTAGTTGATGTTTCGTGAGGCTGAACACGCTGGTTACTGGGCCGGCGATTTCCTCCCATTAGCGCGGGCTCATAAATAGACAGCGGATTTGTTTCTTAGAACTGCGTCATCAAATATGATTGCCTAATCGACATAATGTTACACTTGGCAGCTAATAAACATTATAACATATACGATAATATGGAAAAGGTCTACGAAAATCACTGCAATGGCGCGATACAATAAAGCGTCGTCGCAAGAATTCGACTAGAAACTATTCAAAAGCACTGACTACTTTCCGGAGCAATAACAGAAGGTGAAAAAACAAAGTTAAAAAAAGGAATCTTAACACAGCTTTATAGGACTGGAACAAGTAATAGTCTTGGTGCAAATTCAGCTATACTTCGTATGCGATTCCGGAGGTGGCAAACAGGAATTCTGTAAGTAGAAGCAAAATAATTAACCTAGTACACGTGTGTCTCGAAAATTGTTAGATTGAATTCAATTTATCAACATTACAGTACTAATCTAAAAGAGGAAATACCCCATATTCTCGAAATTTCACGATGATTGTTCGTATGTGGCTGCTGGTTGTTAGTCATATTATTATTGCGTTATTAAGAAGTACTCCAGACTGTGCCATAAATAAAATATGCGACTACTAGTGTAAGACGATTACCGAAGCGATCGAGTAACACTTAAGGATAAGCTTATAAATGCGATAAAAATATTCTGGAAGAAACAACGACAAATTGTAAAATAAGCTACAAATACTGCAATATAACTTAACAAGCAAAACTTCACCTTCAATTAACTGATCCAGGTCATCACCACCATCCAAACCATCATCATCATCATCATCGTCATCATCACCATCATAATTGTCAGCATGATAATTATCCTCCTCCTCCTCCTCCTCCTCGTCGTTCTCCTCCTCGTCCCCATCATCATCATCATCACCACCACCACCACCACCACCATCATCATCATCATCAAAAGCAACAGCCGCAGAAGCAGCAGCGACATTAGCGCCATTAGCATCATCTACGTAATCAGCGCCACAACTGTCATTAACGCCACCGTTCGCGTCATCTCCACTACCATCAGCGCCACCACCATCAAAACAATGAAAATCATAATGGCAACCATCACTGTCTTCGCCGCCGCCGCAATCGTCATCAGCATCATCACCAAAAGAACATTTACGATCACCACCACCATCAAAACCATAATCAACGTTACTACCACCTTGACCACTAACGCCTGCACCGCCACCAACGCCGCCGCCATCATCGTCAACATCATCATTATCATCGCCACCACCTTCATCACCACCACCATCAAAACCATAATCATCACCACCGCCACCCCTTTTACAGCCACCTTGGCCTGCACTGCTACCAACACCGCCACCGCCATCATCAACATCATCGCTATCATCGCCAACAGCTTTATCATCACCGCCGCCACCTTGACAACTACCTTGGCCTACCCTGCTACCAACGCCGCCGCCATCATCATTAGCATTGTCCCTATTATCGCTACCATCATCATCCCCACAGCCATAAAAGGCACAACCATCACCACCGCCGCTCCCTTGACAACCACCTTGGGCTCCATCATCACCACCACTGTCGCCATCATCATTAGCATCGTCACTACTGTCGCTGCTATCATCATTACCACTGCCATCAAAACTATAACCATCACCACCGCCGCTACCTTGACAATCGCCTTGGGAACCACCGTCGCCACCACTGCCGCCACCACTGCCGCCATTATCTTTAGCGTCGTGACTATTGCCGCTACCATCATCATCACCACTGCCATCAAAACCATGACCATTACCACTGCCGCTCCCTTGACAACCACCTTGAGGACCGTCACTTCCACTGCCGCCATCATCTTTAGCATCGTGATTATTGTCGCTATCATCCTCATCACCACTGGCATCAAAACCATAACCATCAACACCGCCGCTCCCTTGAAAACCACCTTGGGGACCACTGTCACCACCACTGCCGCCATCATCTTTAGCATCGTGACTATTGTCGCCACCATCCTCATCACCACTGGCATCAAAACCATAACAATCACCACCGCCGCTTCCTTGACAACCACCTTGGGGATCACCATCACTGCCACTGCCGCCATCATCATTAGCTTCGTCACTATTCTCGATACCATCATCATCATAACCGCCACCGTCTTGACTACCCCCATCAGCACCACCGCCGTCACTTCTGTCACCGCCACCATCTTCTTGACCACTACCACCACCATCACCAACTCCGTCATCGCCACCTTTGCAGCCATCACCATCATTTCCACCGCATTTATCACTATTAACACCACCGCTGCCGTGATCGTTATTACTTCCATCACCACACTCATCATTACAACCATCTCCACCATAATTGCCACAATGATTGCCATTATCGCCTATACCATCGCCACCATCATTATTACGGCCACTACGACTACCACTTTTATAATTGCTAACAATGTCGCCACCACTGCCAATGCCGCCACCCTTACTACAACAGTCACCACTAGAACAACCAGATCCACCAACATCAGCGTCTACAACGGTAACATTAGCGTTCCCAGCCGAAGCAACGCAAACAACTCTTACAGCAGCAAAACAAATGGTAACATCAAAATAATGGTCATCACAGCCGCCATGATTGTAACGATCATCGTCGTGCTTGTCCTCGTCATAATTTCTGAAACTGCAGTTGTCGTCACCCTCCTCCGTTTCCTTTATCATCTTGATTGCTGCCTTGTTAATCCGATTACCCGAGAAGAAACCTGCAATGTTCAAAAGCACAATAGCATTAACAATCTGAACGCTTTAAGTAAGCAAGCAAGCAAGCAAGCAAGCAAGCAAGCAAGCAAGCAAGCAAGCAAGCAAGCAAGCAAGGAAGTAAGTAAGTAAGTAACAACTTTATTTATCGAGGGTAGCACACGACAGTAAAAACTGATAAACCAGTGGCCATCAATCTAAATCACAAATGTTAATATTACTAAGACAAATCCAGCAAATTAAAAAATAACAGACAATAAGAAAAGTATATACATTAGAATTGTAAGATAAAAAGACATTTATACACATAGAAACTAGGCTAAAATATATTTTTAAGAGCAGGTTTTAAAGGCGTTAACGGTGTCTTTCTCTCGTATATCGAGTAGAATCACATTCCAAAGCTTAACGCCACGAGCTTGAAAAGTACGCCCCCCTTCAGTTTCCCTATTATAACCTAGACACACCAGATTATACATTCCATTGCGGCTAGCTCTTGTGACACTCCTGGTATTTGCATTTCTAGGTAATAGGTTATTTCTCTTTCTCTAATGTTTGTAATAGTAATGGAATATACTAAGGAAGACGTTCTCACAGGCAGAATCAATTTGTTGAGTACGTATATCTGGCGACTCGATTTCGCAGACCTATGGTAACTGCTACAGTAGGTACAAAGACAAAGACAACCATCATTATTCGATGCATTGGTATGGACCCCCCTAAAAACAACAACAACAGTTAAGCCTTTTAATACGTGTCGTTGGCGTTTGACGCTTTTCAAAACTTTGGCCGTTCATTTTCTGGCTTGCGACCGCTATTATTTTGCCCATTCAACGAGTGTCGCTTACGACAGCACTACCTTAAATAATCGTGTCTTTTTTCACTGGGAACCAAACTGATTCTGTATTGTTGTCATTAAAGTACAGGCAATCACATGATAACGAGTGCAATATGGAATAAATCATGAGTAAATTTTTCAAAGGTTAACAATAATGCACAACTCAAAGGGCGAGTGCAATTTGTAGTCTGTAGTCTAAATGTACAAGTGTATATTTATGCGTCAAAAATCATGTGTTTGCTTGTGGATGATAAACTTGAAAAAGAGGCTACCTACACGCAGCCTTTGGCTGTACATTATAAAGGGAGTTTGGGTAAACAACGATAATAACGGCATTGAGGACCTCAACAAAAACAAAGTTAAATGAGCGAAACAAAAGCAACGCATGTGCGTTTTGGTTTTGGTGAGTTTTGGTGCACCCACACACCCCTAAGAGAACTTGCTCAAAGGCTACGTTTTCAGGAAGTTACTCCAGAGTTGACTTCAGTTCTTTTTATTGCTCTTCTTTCACTATTTCAACAACTGAAATTAAGAAAGCTTTGAAACCCTGTTCGAACCAACCAAAGTAAAAGTGATTGCTTCTCTTCCCATCGTGTCACCTGGCCTCACCTCGACTTCCCTACTGATACGACCAGGGTGACTTCTATCTTGAAGCGATCCCTTGCTTCTTGAAACCGCACGCCCATATTCTTTCTCGGTAATTGCTGTGTTCCTTTCTCATGGAGAGAGCTCTTGTTGTTTTGGGCGTATTCTCCCAGTATCGATTCTATGGCTGCTTTTTGCAGTGAGTTTTAAAAACTTAAACAGTGAGAGCTAGAAAACTGGTTACAAGTTCGTCGGATGTAAAATGTGCATCATGCCTGGTTGGAGAAACCCAAATAACGCTCACCATATAGAGCGTTTACACGGCAACCTTATTAGTATTCCTGAAGAATAGTAAAATTTGGCATGCATAAGATGAATGAATGAATGAATGAACTTTATTTAAGTGTCGGAGTAAAGAAAAAAAGAAAATAAATGAATAGATAAATGAATAGGAGATATAAATCTTACACATCATGCCCACCTTGACGTCATGTGAAAATGCTTCATAGGACGGCATTGCCACTAGCGATGACTGTCATTGATTTCCAACAGACAAAATATAACTAGACGCTCTAAGAGCGTTTACTCGGGCTTCGTTACGAGTACGCATATTGGACACAATTAAAACAAATAAAAGTGTCAGGATGTTTTAGCAAAAGAGTTCCGCTTAGATATTTAATATTCATTTGTTGCTTCGTTGAGTATCCGAATCCAATCGCAAGTTAGGAGTTTGAGGAACTCATTTCTGAGGGAAGATGCGACATTCTGTTTTGCTCGATTTATTTTGGTTTCGTACTCGTCTAGTTCGTGTCACGCAACATGATTTTCTCTAGCAGTCAGACATAGTTTTCTAAAAGAATTGGCGATTGCTAAGACTGCTAAGTATACTTGAACTACTAGTGAAATAAATTTGGCTAAAATATCGTCAATGCAGATTTTCCTTAGGACTTGGCAAGAACATTGGTTCGTCAATAATCCCGCACAATTCCCCGCACAATCGAAGTTTTTTATTTTCCCGCACAATTTGCCCCAAAAATCATACAATAATATTTTTTTTCCTGCACCTTACTAGGAAGCCAACTAACTTGGAGGCAAGATATTTGATTCAAGTTACCGAAAGTCGATTGGCATATTTTGCGCTGTGCAAAAATGCATGTTTTAATAAACTTCGAGTCCAAAAACGTTTTCGTATTTAGCTCGTTTTATTGCAATATGATTTGTTTTATTGCAATGTTCTAAATAATGACAGCAGTAGCCACATATCGTCATTGACTGCCTATTTTTTGTCAGTGTTTTCGTAATTTGAACTCATACCGTGATCGGCTCAGTTGTTATCCCACGAGAACGTATCGAGCGTGAACTTTGCTTACCTGGCTGGCTTTCAAGCAATATAATTCGTGGACCGACCCTTTCCGAAAACGATCGACATCTTTGTATGTGAGATGAACGTATAAGGCGCGATTCTCGCCAAAACTTTCTTCGCAAAACACCATATTCTGTCACCGAAGAGCCAGCAATGTCGCGTTCTCTTCCCCAGTTTCCACGGTCTACGCATGGAACGCCTGGGACCATGACTCCCTTTTGGCGACCAACAACGGCTTGCATTTTATAGGCAGATCAGGGAGTGAAATTTCCTCTACATTGTCATTTGAACCAAATTTAGGAAAGGAAATACTAAGAAAAATGGCACAATAGCAAACCACGTACACAAGTTTCCTCTTTTATGAATCTTTTTCGACTCTTTTTTATATTTATTTTATCAGAGCAGTTACGAGGTATTCCATGTCTGCTCCAGTACCGAGACTTATTCGAAAAAATCCTCAAGCACTTTCAACTCCATGAAAAAATACTCAATAACTCATAATGTATAATTTATTTTCAGTGTGGCAAACACAAAAAAGGACCACTCGGGAATATTAATCCAATATCAAATCCGAAATGATTGCATGTTTACCAGTTTTCTGAATTTGACTGGGGTGGAATGTTCTATTGGATCAATATATCTGTAGGGTTAAATTCTGATCTCAGTTAAATTTTTTTTTCCAGACTGCATGTGATTCGTTTTCTTCGAGGAAGTTTTATCCGTAGTTAATAGTTTTCACTGACTGGGATAAACTGAACAAAAAAAACCTCACTCGAAGTTCAACCATATATGGTTGAATTCAAATTCAACTGAGATTAAAAAATTAACTGCAGCATATTCAATAATTCAAAGGCTTAAGCTACCTTGGCACTGATCACTGATCACGTTTGTTTAATTTCTTGGAGTGTTGTTTAAGCCAATTTCAAGTGATGAAAATGACCAGTCCTGGTTTCTTATGTTAGGCTTCGTAATATGCTTAGTCTAGCCTAATATAAACGAAAGTACCTTGTTTTTATGTCGTTCGTTTAGGGGAATGTAGTATACTAACCTTGATTGATCGATAATGGTGTGTGTCGGCGATCAAGCGAACTCGAATTATCGTCGACCCATCATTTTGAAGGATCGTCAGGCAGATTTTAATTTCTTCTCGAGCGCAGGCAGCAAACTTGATGTCGCATTTTGTTCATTATGGTCGAAAATCGGAACGCTACCTTTATTAAAACTGTGCCTTACAACAGTTTCCAGGATGATCCAGCAGTTCCAGTCTTCGTCAAGTGATATTACAATATTGGTATCACATAATGCCCAATCGTGAACAAGACTGAAATCCGAGCCAGGCGACCCGACATCTTTGTTACCGAATTGTGATAAAGTCACAAAAATGCTACCAAGATTGTAATATCCAATTAAGGTTAAGTAATTTGTGCAGAGGAGTTCTGGACCATCTCAAAGTTTTGGAAATTTACGGTGCCTCCACAGAACGTTTTTAAACTTTGTAAAAAGGTTGTACCTTATAATGCTAATTACAATTTAAAAAAAAAAAATACAGGGTCACAAAAATGTGGTTTTGAGCTAGGAGCAATAAAACTTAAGTTATGTTTGTTGTTGACATGCTACACCGTTGCTGTCTTGACCTGTTCTATAAAGGATGTCCACAACTGGTTCTCAATCATTGGGCATTTTTAGAACACCATTAGTAGCATCATCTAACAAAGAGTGGTAGTACTGATTCACGACTGTTATTCTAATTTGTAAAAATCTATAAAGCTATGGCTCTTGCAATTATTACACTGTTGTCATTGTTGTTGGCTGCCAAAATGTCCATTATCGACCGGAACGACTTTAAGCCATGGTTTATTGCGATTTAGAAAACAGTCCTAAGAAAACACGCGCGCTGATTGGTTAAAAATCGTGTTTCTATCAAACGATTAGATTATGAGCTCGAGATTTCTATCGCGTGATGGTTGACGAGGGCGCAGTCACCCATAGAAATCGAGAGCGAATAATCTAATTGTTCTAGTATAAATCTACTAGTCGTTTAAAACTTTATCTAAATCTTCTTCACACACACTTCGAAAACGCCAAGAAGCGGTCGTCATTTGTTAACAAGCGCTCGCAGCTACGTTTGTATAACTATCTATCACAGAATAGATAGTGAGTAGCGTCGCCAATCAGAGAACGGCATTCGTGACAGAACGCTAGTAGATTTATACAAAAACTCGATAGAAACACGGCACTATTTCTTAAATAAATCGGAGATAATTTAACTAAACCAGAGTATTTTGGAAAATAGCGGTGTCGTAGTCCCGTATAAGAATAATCGTGACTTACTAGAGTTTGCTGTTACTAACGACAGACTACTCAGTTAAGCGAAAAGTTCTTCAGTTCAATCTCGATGTCCAACATTTGTCTTCACTCGCCTCTACCTTTAGTGGCTTAAATTGCACGGTTTCTGAACCTCCGTAAAATTTAACTTGTGTAGTTTACATCAAGCCGGAAGCCAAACCTCGCGTGAATCGTCTTTATTTATTTTACTAGCGTGTCCGTGTTTCTTTTCCCGTTATTTCCGTTTTCGCCACATCTTCGACATGTTCGAGCTTCTTTTGTGGCTAAAAGAAATGCACACAAAATCGTACGCAAACGAATGAGTTGTACGCAATAAAAAATGCTATTTAATGTGTTTTTGTTTCTTCAGAAATCTGTATAATATTTTTTGAATCCGGCCAGTTTCCTAGAAAAGCCACAGATTGACAAACTGAATTCTCGGAACTTCAATGTATACACAAGCATAAGGGAATTGTTCATCAATGTGAATATCGTGCTTTACCAAGCCTGTACAACTGGATATACATCCACAAATCATTTTCTCATAGGCTTGGAAGTCTTCAGAAATATAATGAGTTCACCCACCGTATCAAACACAAGGCATTTAATTTCAGCAAATCGATACATTTCGTTGGTGCTAGCGGATCGAACGGAATCGTTCACTAGCACGAAACGAACATCGCTGGACTTAAATATAAACATCTGTTCTGGACATAGTTGCAAAATAAGAATCACCTGGGCACTGATTCCAGCGATTACCTGAACTTCTTTTTATTCTTCCGAGTGTCTTTAAAGTCGGCAACTTCAGTACTTCAGCATATTTAGATGGCATCATGGTCGATTGCCAACCGTGGCCTCCCATTCTTAGAGAGAAAGGTCAAGATAGCGAGAATAGCGCTGTGATCCAGTTAGTGGAAAGTGCCTTGTATGTATCCTTTTGTATGGGAGCGTAGGACACACAGAATCAACAGATGAGGAGCGAAATTCGACAAAGAACAATTCCTCTCTAGAAATATGAACTAGTCGAAAAGGGAAATTACCCCATCCCGGCATGCCTTTGGATCTGCAAACTATCACGGGACGATACCCTATCCCGGCATGCCCGTCTCTGCGGTGGACGAAATTAGGTATGTTTCAAATATGAAACCAGGGCCACATTTGCAAGTTGTTAAGTACATGGAAACGAAGTTTCACTTTAGAAAACACCCCGAGCTCAAAGCCTTCGAACTGTCGACCAACTAAATGACAGTAAGGGTTAACTAGCAAAGTAAAGAACTTTGTTAATCGAAATAACCGAGTGATTGTTCTTTCGTTTTCTTGCAGGGTTTTATCCAGGAGTAAACACATTTTAAGCATATTTTTCCAGTCAGTGGGCTGTTTCACCGGCTTAACTTACGTGGATGTAGTTGTACAAATGTAAACTCGAAAGAAGTGCGGGGACTTTTAGTTAAGTTTTTAATACCAAGGCAAGCACATTTCCGGAAGGGGGTTTGGCGACTTTCTCGGAAATCATTTGCATATGCAATAAAAGTGATCCAAACAAAAGCTGGAGGGTGTCTTCAAGAAAAAGCACTGATCTGAGGTGGGTTTTTCTGTTTTTAACACTTGACAACGTATTATTTCCTTCTCATAGAAGTGGAATAATGTGTTTTATGTTGCTTGAATTTATGACCAATTTAAGTACGTCGCGCGTCGCTCAAACCCGGATACACTTCTTCATCAGGAAGAAAGCATGACTATCTTCATTTTCAATTTGAACTTTAACACAAATATTTTGGCTCGAGTTTGTTCGAATTCCAAACACAGTCGAACCCAATCGCTAGATTAAGCTTGGTTGAGTTCGATTAAGTTCGATAACCGGAACAGTTCGAGTAGTTACGTAAGGTTTCAAGGAGAAGACTTAGCCTACGTGGGGTTTTGAATTTTTATTTTATTATAGTGGCGAAATACTGTTTTCTGCCTAAAATTAAACAATGCTACATTTGTATACATATGCTTCATACTGCAAAATTAAATCATCAACTGTATTCAAAAATGTGTTTTTGAACCCTGATTATGATCGATCTCGCCCCCTCCTCCGGCCCAAGTCCGAAGGTGCCCATACATTTATGACACGTGCACAACTCAAGGTTCTCCCATTTCACGGTGACGACGCACTCTACAACTATGGCGGCAAAAAGTAAGGATTAAAACGAAAATTAAACGTACACTACAATTCCTAATGACCTAATGAACAACATGTAACCTAGAGAGACCAGACTCAGTGCCATGATGTTGAGCGAGAAAAATGCCAGAAGAAAATTTTACAGCATAATTACTACGGTTGGGTGTTATGTTTGGTTTTAATTTTTTAATTTTTTTTTCTGGAATTAATTTAGTGCACTTATGGAGCAAAGGATGACTGGATTTCCAGTTTAAGCTAATTTTCATTCTTTTCAGAATCTGGGTCTTCCGGAAGACTTTTGAATTCTTTTTTTAGCTGTTATTTTATATCCAAACCGAGAAATGAAAACAATATCCAGACGTATTGTTTACTTTTGAGTCGATTGACGTTGCGTGACGAATTTTAATTTATGCCTAATTTTTCATAAATTGTTATTGATTACAGAATTTCTCTTCGACATAAACATTTTATTTTATGTGTGTACGTGTGTACGAGCGATGACCGTCCAGCATATTCGCATACTTTAATTTTATAGTTGTAAACACTTGATTCCGCTGACGGATGCATACATTCATGGAAAACAAAAGTTAGGGACTTTTCCCTATCCCGACATGCACGTTGGAATCAAGGTAAATCAAGCGTGGAAAATATGCGAGTTTTATGGAATTTAGAATTTAGATTTCCTGTCGATAAATAATGTCGAAATTACAAAAATAAAAACAACCTGTATCTGGTGTTGCTTTCTATCTATCGTTGACATGTGTTTCTGGGTAATTTGAACGATTTTTGGGTAATATATCCTATAATCAATAAACAGAAGCACAGTGCCTATTAGCCGGATGTTTTGACCAAAACTCGCTCAAATCACCTAGAAACGTAGCGTACCGGAAAAGAAAGTAAAACCAGATATAATTTCGTGAGCTTATTTCGTGATTTCGACTAGGCATAGGGTCGGCAGAGAGTCTCCGTACCCTTTCATTTTCAAAATGTCATTAGGTTCCAGGTATTATGCTTAGAATCCATTTCATGCTGGCTATGGCAAGCGTTTTTTCGTTACAATACCGACCATTGAGAATTTGAGCGCTACGGCGACAGTTGTCGTGAAATTCAAATGTTTAACTTAGGATACTTTTGTCCTACTTTCAATTGAATAAAGGCAATGTAATCGTCTTGTTTTTCTTTCTGGTGCCCTCTTGATCGATCACGAAAGACGAAATCTATTGTGACGTAAAAGAAGGGATTTTCCCCTATCCCAGCATGCATTTTGAACCGTTTTTAGATAAATTTTACCCTAACCGAAGCCGTTTGCGGACATGATTTAGACTTACGATTTGACGAAATCTATTGTGACGTAAAAGAAGGGATTTTTCCCTATCCCAGCATGCATTTTGAACCGTTTTTAGATAAATTTTACCCTAACCGAAGCCGTTTGCGGACATGATTTAGGCTTACGATTTGCTGTTTTTTCTGCCAGTGTAGCCTACACTGGAAACAGGATTGGTAATTTCAATTTTATATTCAAAAATACGGTTTGTGTAAAGTCATTTGCAATTCATGGTAGTCGACTGAGCTGAACCGTCAAATCTTACAGGCAGGCACAAGTCGAAGATGTCTACACACAAGGATATCGCATTAGTTGAAAATTTAGCTCTGTGTTTTACACCAAAAGTATCTTTCTGTCTAACTAATGAACTTTTATTCTTTTCAGACCCAGGACTAACGGGAATGTAGAATTGAGGCAACAACCATCATTGACCATTGCTAGAGGGCTTGTTTCGTCGAATTGACGGAAATACAGGTAACCAGGCAACTGCGCCAACGCTGCATTACTGACAGAAATCGTGCGGTCGGTATAAAACAGCTTAAAACGAAGACTGTGGACTGCAAACTACGGACTGCGAACCGGGGGTATTTAAAATTCAGACTGAAAAATGAAGTCTGCAGACCAGGGGTAAAATGCAGACTACAAACCAGGGATAGAATGCAGACTGCAGACTGTAGACTTTTTAACTGAATCGTGAGACCATTTTCCATCGTGCTAACGGTAAACAGGCTGACCGGAACGTTATTGAGGCTAACCTGAGTGACACTCAGGCTAAGCGTAGCGATATTCAGGCTAACCGGAGCGCAGACTTTCACTACGATTAGCCTGAACAACCCTGTTTACGGTTAGCACTCGATAACGGAAATATCACGATATCTACATAACACGTCTGTAGTCTGTATTTTACCTCCAGTCTGCATCATTTCGGCCCGGCGGTCTGCAGACTCTGCAGTCTGCAGATTGCGTTTTACACCGACAGGAAGTCGTGAGTTCGATCTCAGGTGACAGCATGAACTAGTCGGTTGTTATCGATTGAAGACATACGATTACGGTTGTACATTCAAAACTTTTACTGTATAGATTAGCGTCTACCATTTTAACATGAAATTGAAGTCGTCGTCGCTTATTCTGTAATGCTCTATTTCACATTTAGTCCTGAAGTGTTATCGAAAGTAGTGTTATTTACGAGTCTGGCCGGGGTTTTTCCCTATCCCGACATGTTTCAGGGAGTGCGTGACAATGTTGATGAGGATCGGAGTAAACATGTTTACGGGAACAACGAAAAACCTGACAAATAATAATAACCGTGCATGCAGAGTGCAGCCCAAATTCCAACTTAAATCGTGCTCTATACATTTCAAACGTTGCAAAATTCCAGAGATACTTATTCATTGTGCATTTTGTATCATCTATTTCAAAATGCCAATCTCACGCAACACAGTCTCCTACTCAGCCGGCCATCAATAAGGTCAATACACGCCAAGCGTGACGATCCTGGTCATGGCTTCGAACGGGACTAAGGGGAGGGGAGGTTGGCCCTTTCTTTCTGAGGACAAAAATCAGTTTACTTTTGGCACAGTTTTTGTCCCCTTTAAAACTATGTTCTGCGTTTTTTCCCTCCACTTTCATTCTGCAAGGTATTATTTGTTAATTGACCACCAACTTCGCCCTCTCGTTCACTCAAAAATAAGATTGTCCGTCCCAAATCTAGAGAACACCGATGTTCCCTTGGCCAAATACAGTTGGTGTGCTTTAAAAACTAAAGACCATTTTTTTCTTGGTCAGATCTGTGACGATATCGTCAAGCTCTAAAGATTCTGAATGCACATATTCTCACTACCGCTCAGCTAAAGACAAGAGATTGTGCCCACACTATTTTGCAACGTACAACTGTTCTTGAAAACCGAGATGGCAGGCTATCAACTAGCCAAGAGTGATATGGAACATGTTCCTCGCAAGTACATATGCAGACAGTGCACCCTCGTGTTACGAGACCCGCTACAAACACCGTGCGCTCATTTTTATTGCCGAGACTGTTTGTATCACCTGAAAAGGTAACTGTTAACTTTGTACTGAGAATATGGTTCATATGACGGATGCTATCGTTATATAAGAGCGTGACCCGAAAAGATCAAACAGTGTCATTCATCGCCTAGATAGATGGCTGGTTTGCCGAGGTTTCGTTACACCTTAGCTCGTTCAGTAAGGTTGCCAGGCAACTTTGCGATATGGATGTGTTAGAGTAGTGGTGCAGGAATAAAAAATAGAGAGCTATGAGTTAGCAAAGGTGACGCAATCTAGACGATCCTATCGTAAAGCTCTTTGTTCTTGGTCTTTGAGATGTAATTTCGTCGTCGGGTTTGGAACTACAAACAGCACCTTCAATACTAGATAAACATGCCATAAATCATGTCCAAAAAAGTTTGTTGAAGGCTTTGCCCTTCTGGCTTTTAAAATCTTGTTCGTTGTTGAAATTAGCATTCATTCAGTAGAGAACTACGAAGTTTTGCTTTTTAGAGCGAGTTAGAAATTATTGAAAACTGATAATATATTAGCTGTGGGGTTCTGTTCAACGATTTAGTATCTCTCTTTGTATCTCTTTGTTTCGGTTAATGAGGGTTGAGTCAATGGGAGCTCCAAAGGTTTTTCTCCGGAGAAACAAAGTTACTATTTAGAAGGGAATATTTTCAATTCCAATCGCAATGATACTTTATGCAATAAAGGGTTAAAGGGTTGTATTCCGAATCCAGCGGTTTGGGTTCGAACCTGGCGGAAAAATCTGTTTTGGGGAGTGTTAATACGTCCAGTAAAGACACCAGAGTTAACGAGCCACATCACTTGAAGTTTAAGGCTTTGCTTTGTGGAACACTAAACTGTTTACTAAGAACGTTTGTTATCTATGGATTCTGATTAGAAAGGGGACCTTGTTCCCTATTTCACGCTGCGCGCCGCGCTATCAGATCTAAACCACGCCCGCACTTGTAACTTGTTGAACCAGTGTCCTATAGTACAAATAGCTAGAGTATAAACATCGTGAGATATTTCTACTCGTTTCACGCGTTATTTGTACTGTACGGAGTAGAACTGGATAACATACACTTAATTACCGGTACTGAGGGAAACAGTTAGTTTTGTTTTTTCGAGAATCTCGCTGTTTCCCGAGACGAAGTCGACGGAAACATCGAGATTGGAGCATCGATAGCTGAAGTTTAGTCTAAAGTAACAAGCCAATAAGAAATCAAAGTAACCTCTGCTTAGTGGGATAGCGGGCAACAATTGCGTGATTGTTACCTGCCGGGGAGACATTTAGGATGCGTTCCTTTGGGTGATCTGCAGCAGGATCAGGATCAGTGATCCAAGATCACGCAGATCATGGTGCATCAAAGGAACCGGTTCCTTTGATGCACCATGATCCAAGTGATCTTGGATCACTTATCCTGATCCAGATCACTCCAAAGGAACGCAACCCTTAGATTTAGACAACACGAGCGCGCGTGAGATTGAACTATACCCCAGCTGTATAAAAATGAATATTATTGATCCATGCAGATGTTTCTGACTACCATCCTCGCCTATGTACCTCTCGCTCGTCAATGTGACTCTGCAGGATATTTATGTGACTTTTCATTTTTCAGCAGCGACACGATCTACAAATGTAAAGCAGATGATGAAGAATTCAGTCTAACTGAGGTAGTATACAGCGATCATCATATAACGCTAATTCAGATTGGCTGAGAACCATCTTCACGAAAAGTCAAGCCATGGCATGTCACTGATGGAATACGTCCGGTCACGTGAACGATTTAAGGCTCTGTCCACACTACGCCGGATAAATTTGAAAACGCAGCTTTATTTCTACGGAAAGGCCTACTGCCCAAACTTATCCGTCACGAAACCGAGCTTTTCGAAAACGCTCTTCAAACCGAAGGAAGTTGAAAACCCCGGCTTTTCGTTTTCGTGTGGACGGAAGACAAATTTTGAAAACGGAGCTTTTTGAAAACGATGACATCACGATAATCATGTGATTTCCCTGACCGAGTTCACAAATTCAAAATGACCGGTAATTGTTGCGATTTTAAATTCCTCCGGCGTAGTGTGGACGGAAAACATTTGATGCGTTTTTAAAGCGAAACCTCCGTTTTCAAACGATGTCGGTACGCTTTGCACAAAATTGTATTTAAGGAGGCTGGCAACAGTTTCTAGCACTTTTCTAACAGCTATACTTTGAAGGATGAATACTACCACAATTAAACAAGTGATACTACAAAATGCAATAATAGTATCATACAAATGCCCAATCATTGGTTAACAAGTTGCGGTCATCTTTTTTATGTAACAGGTTACCATACCAAGAGTATGATCTGCTAAAAACACCCTTAATTTTAGCTCTAAGCGCTTAACTCAAAAAAGAGCTCTTTTTTGAGTGACCCCTATTTTTTATTATCGAATTGAGATAAGCATGATAAGATGCAATTTTTTTCAGAGTTTTCAAAAAAAAAAAAAAAGAAAAATTCGGAAATTTAAGGTGGCTCTGAACCCACTCCACAGAATTTTTTTTTCAAACTCTGTAAAAAGTTGCATCTTGTCATGCTTATCATAATTTGATAATAAAAAAATGTTTTTTAGTTATAAGTGCTTAAAGCTAAAATTAAGGGCGTTTTTAGCAGGTCATACTGTTGCTATGATTGTGGCATCAACCGATACAGAGTGGACATAATGGCCCATCAAAATCCACGTCTTGGAATATGCTGACAACTTTTTGAGCCACCTTAAATCAAATAAAAAGAAGCATTAGGATATATAAAATTGAGAAATGTGGTTACAGATTACAAACAACAAACTAAAAAGAAACACAATGCAACCTATCGCAACGTAACAACGTAACGTAACATAAAAAACACCATCAAATTCCAAAGTATAATTGGAAGCAGCAATTGTTTTCATATTTACTGTTTCAATTAAGAAAAATCTGTACGTAACGCTTTTCATAACCCGTGAGTCGTTATTGGTAAACCTCTTCTGTGTCCTTATACGTACCAATATGATACTTTACAATTTTTCACTTGAAAAAATAATTAGATGTCACGATGGCATTTAGAACGTTTCCAGAACCGAGATAAACGTTTCAAAAGATCGCAAGTAAAAAAGGGTTCCATTCATGTATTTAGGTCTAAAACAAATTAAGTTGTTACGAAAACGTGCGTGAAAATATGTTTGCATGGTCGGAAATTCAGCTCCAAGATTACTAAATGATTCAAAATCCTCAGTTACAAAAAAAAAACATTCGTTTGTTTGCTTGTTTGTTTGTTTGTTTGTCTGTTCGTTTGTTTGAACAACTGTTGCTGCCTTTAAAATCCTTTAAGCGTATTTTTTGGAAGAGCTAATAGGCGATGTTACTCGTGCACTTTAACTTTTAATATTGCCATGGTTTTCAGCCAATAAGTTGTAGTTAGCGTTTGTGATATCTCTGCATCGAAAGCAAAACAATTGAAACCATTAAATTGGATTTGCTTGAAATAAACAGACTGATACACCTGGCTCCGTGGACCTCTGAAGTATAAGAATCTTCTTAGCATATTCTTTGCATTTGTATGGAATTTTTTTTCTGTTTTATTTTTTCCTGTTAATTTTCATTTCCAAATTATTAAAATTGCCGTCGAAAACAAGTCCTTGAAGTACGAACAAGGAGATACACACCTTATAATTTTCGACACATTCTCTTCAAATATGCTTGCAGGCAAAGCTAAATAGAGAGTACGTAAAAACCCGACAAACGCTGGAAAGGCCGGAACGCAGCGTTAGAAAGACCGAAAGGCCGAAAGGCAAGACTTAAGGCCGGCGTCGGGGCTAAATAACGCCCTGAATAAAAATCGCGACATAGCCAATAACAAGCAAATATATACGGACAATTAATTTAAGAAAGAGTAAGGTAGGGTTCTGGAATTTGGTTTTCACTTCGCACCCACTTCCTGCTATTTGACTACTGAATCAGACTGGACAACAGGCTAATCCTTTGCGAACTGTTGTCTAGAGCTTCAGGACTGGTCCAGACTGATACATTCAGACAGGCATCATATGAAGACGGCTATTTTTTTTTTTCTTGATTGGGCAGGTATTCCCTGATGGATGTGTCCGAAAGGAAATCCAGAGTCTAACAGTTCATTGCTTGCATAACGAACGCGGCTGTGATTGGGAAGATAAAATAACCAGCTTGGAGGTCAGTCATTATTTAGTTAGTCATTGAGCTCTTCTTCGATATCTAATCACTGGCTATTCAAATCCCATATTTTTTTTTTTTTTTTGCATCAGTGTACACGTTCCTTTCAGTGACACTTATCTTCCTGTTGACAACCAGCACTGATAAAACTTTGGACACATGTTTTTTGTCTTTGACAAGATTAGCGAACTAAACAATTAATATCTGGTTTGTTCGAAAAAAGAGTAAAAGTCCAGGTTTCCTTGCCAAAGCTTTCCACACTCTCCCACACTAGAATGATTTCCACTCTGTATTAAGCATTTGATGATCCATGCCGGGTCAACGTAGTTTAAACGTAAAGAGAACAAATGCCATTTATTAAATATAACCTGTCTTTACAGGAGCATATTGCTACCTGCGAGTTCCGAGAGATACCGTGTGACAATTGTAAAGAAAACGTACTGAAATCAGACCTAGCAGAACATCTTGAAAAGGAATGCATCCAAAGACGTGTAGAGTGTGACTACTGCCACGAAATAATGCCTTTTGCTGATTTGCAGGTATGCTGTTTGTTTTGCAAAGCTTGGCAGTTCTCCTTTATTTTATATATTTGAAGAGTCCGTTTGTCCCTCCGCCTCTTCGCCATCGCCTGCTCACCCTGCCTACCTAGTTTGTTTGTTTCCCTATTATCTCATCGACTCATCTCTTAATCACTCACTGCAGGATCATATTAAAAAGAATTGTCAGTCTTTTCCAATTCCCTGCACCCTTTGCAACAAGACAGGCATTCCTCGAGGCAAATTGCGAGAACATCACGATCCGGAGAATGGGGATTGCGAAGGATCTAAAGCAGTGTGCCCTTTTCGCGGACTTGGTTGCAAAAGCAAAGAGGTAATTATAGTTATTCATAGAGCTAACCGGAAAACCCCATTAACTAGTTTGATTTGCTAGACGTTTACAAAAAGTTATTTATTCTCTCTAGTTGAGGTGCATGAATATTGGCGAACGTTGCACTACTCCCCTTTACAGTTTAATACGGCGGATAACATCACTCTTCAGGCTTCAGCTTGCCTTTTTGAGTCTCAGAAATTGCCTGACTATTTTACCCCATACTGTATCTTATCTGTGTATTTTTTTGGTAAATTTCAGGAGATGAGACGTGACGAGAAACGTCACCACGAGCAGACTTTGGTGGCCTTTCATCTCAGTATTCTGGCCCGCTTTGTATTTGGTTTAAGGGACCAAGTTGGAGGCTATATTAACGAGATAAACCCCTTGAGGGAGGGTATTGCGGTGATGGCTCGAATGAAGACCACAGTCTCCCAGCTGGTGTCACAAGTTACAGCGGTTGTGCGGGAAAACGGAAACATCCAGGATGAAATTCACGAGTTAAGATCTCGATTGATGCAAGTGGAGGAAAACCTGGTTGAACCGGACTCCGTTCCTGCACGACAACAGGTTTCCTTGCAAGGTCAGTATCAGCAAGTAAGTGAAGCGTTAAATGATTTCAGGCGTACGCTGAATAACCTGGAAGCGAAGTTTGCAAACCACGAACTTCTGCTTGTTGAAGCAAATCAAACAATCCAGGAACAAAACAACGAGATCGTTTGGCTAAAGAGGCAAGACGAGACTAACAAGGAAACTTTAAGAAGATTACAGGAAAAAGTAGACACGATGGGAGAAGCGTTGAGAACGCGGAACACTGGGCCAAGTGCTGGCTTACAAAGCAGTGCAGACCAAGTACCCGACAGCTTTGATGGCGTTCTCCTCTGGAAGATTTCCGATGTCTCAGCCAAGATATATGAGTCATTCAACGAACCGGAGAAGTCCTTTTATAGTCCTCCATTCTTTACAAGTCGTCATGGCTACAAAATGCGTGCGCGCATTTATTTAAATGGCGACGGGATGGGCAAAGGCACGCATATCTCGCTGTTTTTCGTGATCATGCGTGGCGAGTATGACGCACTACTCCGCTGGCCTTTCAGACAAAAAGTCACTTTTATGTTACTGGATCAGCGTAACGTGGAGCATGTGATCGATGCCTTCAGACCTGATCCAAACAGCTCCTCCTTCCAGAGACCAAGAAGGGAGACCAACATCGCTAGTGGATGTCCGTTGTTCTTTCCGCTTGCGGAATTAAATAAGCATGCTTATATTAAAGATGACGCAATGTTCATTAAGGTCATAGTTGACTGCTCTGATCTGTGAAGGGTTATGATTTTGTAAATTCTAGTTTGTGCTGATTGATATACGTTTAGAGGCGCAACTGTATGAAGTGAAAACCCAGATTTATTCCGATCATCAGCCGGCTCGACTTGGTAACAGTCCTAATTTGTGGTTTTGATAATCTGACTAGTGAACGTTTTTTTTTTCTTATTTAGAGTATCGTTAGGTCACTGTATTCTTAATTTGTAGTTGCCACTACTGTTTTTTTTTTATAACTTACTGGAAGGTTATAAGGTCATTTGTATGTACATGTGTTGCGATGTTTGGTGCTTCACGATCACCAACATGTTATAGCCAAGTGGCATCGTTGTAAAATAGGAATGCAAAATAAACAAAGAAAGCGTCGGAAGCGTGTTCAAAAAAAAAATATATATGTTTTTTTTTTCTCTGAATCAAGTGAGCTGTTCCTAATGAAAATTCCTAGAACATACAGCTAGTGTTTATTTCGGAAAACTCCATAACTCAATCCAATTCTCCACAACCCAGGGTACTGGAAAGTTATTTTGTCATTTTCCTTTTAGATATGGTGTAAGGATAGAAAATGGTCTGTTAAAAATAACAGCTTTTACCTGTATACGTTTTAAGCCCCAAGAGTGACCAGCACGAAATTTTTCTTAATCTAATTATCACTTCGTAGTCTATCGCGGGATCAAAGGACTTTTAGAGCAAACTGCTCTGTAAATAAGCCATCTAACAAGTAGTACTGTCAGAAAGTATGGAAGACGTAAACTAGGAGAATCGGAAGAGACCATGCACTTTTATATATTTAAATCCGCGGTACGCAAGGGTAAATTAACACAACTTAGAGTCACACACTAGTCTGTTGAGTTACATTTTCCGGATCCTTAAATTATAGCACATGATGGGTCGTTTGAATCAGTTACAATCGCAATTGATTTCCAATGCTTAAAGTACACTTTCTACCTGCTTCATGCAGAATTTACTTTAACGAAAGGAAGAGCACTTAGGTAATTACCCTTACCAAACCAAAAACTATTTTAAATGTATTTAAATACTATTTTTAAAAACTGTTTTTAACCTATTTTATGAAATAGATTAAAANGTTCTTTCCGCTTGCGGAATTAAATAAGCATGCTTATATTAAAGATGACGCAATGTTCATTAAGGTCATAGTTGACTGCTCTGATCTGTGAAGGGTTATGATTTTGTAAATTCTAGTTTGCGTTGATTAATGTACGTTTAGAGGTACATCTGTATGAAGTGAAAACCCAGACTTATTCTGATCATCAGCCAGCTCGATTTGGTAACAGTCTTGGTGGTCTTGATAATCGGACTGGGGGATATTTTTGTCCTTATTTACAGTATCGTTAGATCACTAAATTCTTAATTTGTAGTTGCCACTACTGTTTTTTTTTATAACTTAGGAAGGCTGCGAGGTCATTTGTATGCACATGTGTTGCGATGTTTGGTGCTTCACGATCACCAACATGTTATAGCCAAGTGGCATCGTTATAAAATAGGAAAACAAACAAATAAACAAAGAAAGCGTCAGAAGCGTGTTCAAAAATTTTAAAATATGTTTTTTTTTCTCTGAATCAAGTGAGCTGTTCGCGATCAAAATTCCAAAAACTTTTCCTAGAATATACAGCTAGTGTCTATTTTGGAAACCCAGAATAGGAAAGTTATATTTCCATTTTCCTTTTAGATAT